CTGCATGCATCTGTGAGGCATCAAGGAATCTTACCAACTGTTGAATGCATCCTGCATTAGTATAACAAATGACTGTAGTTCCTCCACCGATGTAATTTGCGAAGGAAGCGGCGTTGCCTGCTGCCCTGTTTGCCCGGCAATGGTTGCAGCCATCGATCTCATGTAACTCTTCACATACTCCTGTGTCTTCATATGTATGTATTCTCAACAGTCTATTAAGTAGACACGGAACATTACCTGAAAATGTATACCGTTTTAGGAATGTAGGAAGTTACCATCTATGAACTCGTTGATTCTCCAGTTGGTTCATATCGCATGCAAGAAAATGGTAAAACTTTAAGTACATGCTACGGTGAATGCCATTGCAATCGCTTGTAGGAACGGTGGTGAAGGAGGAGTCAGGTAGACTCTAGGACTAGGACACTCAAGCTACAAAGTGTAAGCACCAATCGGAATCCGTTTTCCGAATCTGTTCGTTCGAATTGTTATGACAGTGAGATGCAGTATTGTACGCTGAAGTTTAATAGTAAGAAAAATGTATCCCTTACCTGCATGAGCTGGTTTGTATCTGCCCATGTTGTATTGCTGGGAAGACGACTGACGTGGGTTTTACCCATCGAGCGGGCCAACTCAGTTAAAGAAAAGGTAGCTAGAGAGCCATAGAGAACGGCTGTGGGGACCATGCGCTTCCTGGAGTGGCTCAAAGTCATCGACAGTCTGCAGACTTCGGTGTACCTGTATGTTATTGGTGCACAAAAGCCCTGTTTTTTTATATGAGGTAATCAGCAATAACTTAGGGAGATTACAAATTACCGGTATGTGGTAATGGTTCATATTTTTTAGGCGTTAGGATCTCATTTTCCGTAATCTCCACAGGGCAAGCTCTTTGATCAATTTGTCCGAGGCATGTTTTCGCGCGCAAAAACCGATCCCGCGCGGGCAATTGCCGGTTTGTACACCGAGGTCTCATTAATAATGCTGAACATCAAAGGTTATGTTAAAGATGGCGACGTACATACAAAAAGATCATGATTAATAGAAACACCGAAACGTCGTGCAATATCGTCACCGATATTACTAAGCGAATGCGCCCCGCAAAATAGAAAAGAAGCTCACAATGAAGCTATCTACGTAGAGTACAAGTAATTGCGCAAGTGGAGACAACAATGCGCAAACTGTGCGTTGGGCGATAGCAGCTAGGGCAAACCAAGGACAAAGCTTGAGAAATGAAATCAAGCTGAAATGTTCATTTTTGCAATACTGCGATGAAAAAAATACATATAGTGCTTCTGCTATCTAACTCACGTCGAAATGGCTTACTACCAACTCAAACTATTTCTCCGCTATCGAAAATGCACAACGAAAAATAGAAGTCCACCACGGTGAAGCAGAATTTACAACCAATTTACAACCAGACGAAGCGAATAATTTAAAGGCGCGGCAAAATTCAAAAGGTGGGTCGAGGACTCTTTTTAAGAAATCATATAGGATTTTTGACAGAATGAAGCAACTAACCAATGTTATGCTTATACATTAGTTAACGTAACCTACACATATATGTGCATTCCTTGCATGAATACGGAGTAGATCAAGTAGCCGCCCATATATTACTGAAGGACTTTGAAGGACGTTTGAAGGACTTTGACGACCGAAAAAAGGACTTCATGTGCTAGCAGGGACATGTCTCTTTTCTGATTATTGTATTTTTTGAAACCGCCTTGAATTAAAGCGAAATTTACAATTAATATATCTTAGCAACTACCATTTTTGTAAATATTTAAGCATAAGTGACCTATACACATCTCTTTCAAATCCCGTCATGAAAGCATCATGGGAACCTCTCTTTGCACTAACGCGGTGAAATTTGAATTTCTATGGTGCCAATTGGTACACCCATTTTGCGGCATGAATGAATTGCCCTCATAATGCCATGAATAGGTAGCATAAATTAATATAAATCGTTTAGTAGTACTACATAGAATATGATGTGTAAACATTTTACTGAGGTAAAGTTACTGAACTAAGGAAGGCCGAGATGGTGGCGGAAAATCAACAGATGGGAATGTGCAGAAAATGCGGTCAACATATATGCCGGTATTTCTGATAATGTAACGCATTAAAATGTTGCATTTATTGAAACCTCAACTAACCGTGTACTATAAACAGGAATCACTTTTAAGAATGGTGTAGATATAAGGTTGAGAAAGCTGCACGGAATTTTAGTCGCACAAACAATGCTCATGGAAGTTATGAAATGCGAGATTCTAAAGCAAGACAAGTACGTAGTTTATTCCTAATGATGGGAAATGTGTAATTAATAGGTTTGAAACTTACTTGGGATGTACTTACTTGGGATGTACTCTCACGCTGTGACCTAAAGTCCATTGACAACACGAATAGGCTGTACCGAAGCAGCCTTCGGATGCTATGGGCTCTCAGGCGCAGCTTTAGCACTTGGTCCGAAGAGATTGCTACTCGCCTCTTCGTCTCGATAATACGACCAACGCTGGAGTACGGCTATTCCGCATACTGTCCCATCACCCGGGGCGAAGTAGAAAAGCTTGAGTGGGTGCATCATGTAGCCACCAGGCTGATTCCCAACTTACGAGGTATGCCATAGCAAGACCGATGTAAGAAACTAGGGTTATACACCCCATCATATCGTCGGCTGAGAGTAGACCTCATCACGACGCACCGGATATTACACCTGGGTACAACCCGATGTGGAGACAACCAATTCATCTGCGCACACCAAGCTGCACGCGAGGACACCGGTATAAACTTATCGTCCGGATTTGAAGCGGGTCGCCCATCAACTCCGTATTGAACGCAGAGTGGTGAATGTCTTGAACGACCTGCCTCAGCATATAGTAGAAGGCAACACAGTGTCTCAATTCAAGATGCTACTAGACCTACAATTTGCAGAGGCAAAGTACAGAGAGCGAAACGATTAATAAAGAGTTCATGTCCAAAAACGACGAAGGATGCAGCTACGCAGAGCAACCTGTACTCGGTGCTTCGCACCAGTTCTCAGAGCAGGTGCCTTCACCACTGGTGATAGAACTGTCTTTAGCCCCGCCGATGATGTAGCAACAGCAGCGTATGTTTTTAGCTCCATTGTCCATGTCTTACTTTTGTTAGGGCCATCGACTTCACCGGAAGGCTCAATAGCGGATGTTGTCTGCTTTTTCTTCTTGCTAACAGAACGAACGCTCTACATTTCGCAGCCGGGTATCAAGAGATTCGTCTCTCCTACAAAATACTGTGCGGCCTTGCCGGCGGCTGCAGCAATTGACACAACTGAAAAGCAACTTCCCGCTAGAGGCCAGCGCTGCGTACTGCTCGGTATTCAGCTCCCTACAAAACTGATGGTACCATCGGTTGCAGCTATTGCACTGCATGCCGCCAGATTCGTCAGTTACTGGTATATTGCAGCTTCGGCCGCCACAAAGTGCGAGAACCTCAGAATCCGAGCCATCAGAAACAACAGACTCGGTGCATTGCGAGGCTGACATAGCGCAACACAGAGTGATGATAACACGTATGCAATAGTTAAACGACATCAAAAAAGGCAAAAACGGGGTTAAAACTGGGAAAAACGGGAAAAATTACTAGTAGGCGCAGAAGACGCTTTGACCAGAACCGCTTTAATCGATCCAACATATCTTGGATCACAGTAAATTTGACAATAGTCAAATTTCGTTTCAAGTCTTTATTCAACCAATGTTTTCCACGTTATTGCAACTAAAAATCTCCATCAGTATGGCACGCCAAAACGAATAGTTACCGCGTAGCACTGTGTTGTCTCTGGCAGAAATATATCGCAGTGATCAACGGTTTGCAGATTCATTCGCATTTACAAGCGTTAGCCGCCGTGTTACATTAATATTAACTTACTGTTTGCCGCGAACTCCTGAACGTCAAAAATGTACGCAACCGTACAGCATGTAGCCGTCGGCGTCCCGATCCAGCAAGTGTTTGCGCCTTTCACGCTGGAAAAACATGTCAACGATTTAATCTGAACACATCCGATTACCTCATCCATGTCTTCAACATTTCCATGCTTCCTAATAACCAAAGATCGGAACAGCTCACCATCATCCACAGCCATAGCGATAGCAGAAAAACCACTATGGCCACCGGAATATTATAACAACTATCACACATATGTACCCTTACCGGTAACACTTCCGATGGCATCATAATTAACACACAATCCAATTCTCCACACACCACTCAGCTATTTCCACCTATTGCACATTCATCCTCCTTGGCAACGTCGCTAGGTAACCACGTTGCTATGTACCATTTGTACCACGGAACGTCCCGAAACAACACAATTTTTTGTTACAGTAATCACACGGTCCGGCCACTCTCTTGTATCCTGATGTGTTTTATATGATTTTCTGCATCGATCAAGCAAAAAAGTTTATGGTTAAAGTAAATAATATACTGTGAATGGGTTAAATAAAAAGGGAAAGTGCAAGGAACGTGGGCATTAAATTTGTGGAGACGCCGTTACCCGGTGAAGTTATTTTGATGCTGACACATGAAAGTGCAAAGATTGCTCTTGTTCTTGCTTCATTCCTTTGCAGAAGCAAGAGGAGAAAATCTAACGTCGAAGTGCCGGGGGTCGCTTCAATTACCGACACAATAACTGGACGCTCGTAAGGCGGAAGCCTATAGCGTCCGTTTGGCCTGACCTGACACTGCGCCATTCCACCCCTCTTCATTGCAGCACATATAAATGAGTGTGGCTAACGTTACCAATGGCCTTCATGAGTGCTACGCGGTAACTCGGTTTTTTGGCGTGCCATACTGATCGAGATTTTTAGTTGAAATAACGTGGAAGACAGTGTTTGAATAAACACTTAAAACGAAATTTGGCTCTTGTCAAATTTCATCTGATCCAAGATATCTTGGGTCGACTAAAGTGGTACTGGCCAAAGCGTCTTCCTGACGCTTACTGGTAATTTTGCGGTTGTTCCCTTTTTAATCCTGTTTTACACCCTGTTTTGCCTTTTTATTGTGGTAGTTTTACGGTTGTATACGTGTTTTTAAATTCTGCGTTGTTTTCCACTTCAATATGGTCGTCTCGCGAAAAACCGGGACGGATGAAGCCCTCGCGTCTTCGTTTGATGAGTCAAATGCACCTTGCAGCAATTCTGCCTGTTCAAGGCCAGTCACAGATTCATCTGGTGGTATGCAGTGTGATATTTGCTCTCGTTGGTATCACAAAAGTTGTACCGGCCTCCGAGCGAATCAGTACAAGATGCTATCATCCAGTGAAAGCCTTCTTTTTAGATGTGCTGATTGTTGCGCTCAGAAAGCGAAGCTCCCGGCTTTCACCTGTGCTGAATTCAAAGCACTAGCGTCCAGATTCACAGTTGTCGAGAAGGCATTAGCCGAGCTTGCCTCACTTGCCTCGCTCAATTCTAAAGTGGATTTGATTATGAAATCCCTGAATATCGCGAATGTGGACGCTGTAACTGACTGTCCTGCTGATAGTCCAACCGTTGACGAGGAGTTCATCCTACCGGACGCTCCTGTTCACGTGGATATGACAGACACAGATGCCTCGGACGGCATTGTTGACCCTCCCCAAATGGAAGGCGAATCACGGGCTCCTGAGCCATTAAAGAATAAGCGTAAGAGAGTAAGGAAAGCGCGCAAACCCTCCGCCCCCAAACCGGAAGGTGACAAAATGCTCAAGAAGCAAGCGCCTGCTTTGAAAACACCACCTGGTGTTGCACTTCCCTCAGTGAGACAAGAGGTGCCGTCGCCTTCGGTTTCACCAATTCCCGTCAGACAACCATATGGCGTGGATGGTAGAGCATGTGGTGTAAATACACCTCGTCGAGGCGATTCTTACACAGATAGCAGTGTGATTTTCAGAAACGTCACTGAATCCACTGCAGCTCTTCCTGCCGAGCGCATGCTTGAGGATCTTGATTGGCTTAAAGTTTGTGTGACCAGGCTTTTACCACCAGGTTTCCCTGGCGTTACTGTCAGGAAGCTCATCAGATTGGGGAACGTTACGGTTGGTCAACCAAATCCTCGACCCCGTTTGCTTAGGGTGGTCCTCTCCACCCCAGAAGAGCGCAGGGCCTTACTGAGATTTGCCTTCAAACTCAAAGGTACCGCGGTTAGTGTGCAACCAGACCTTCCGTTAGCGGATAGGTTAAAGTTAAAGGAAGCCATCAGAGACCTAAAAGCCCGGCGTGCAGCTGGCGAGCAAGGTCTCCGATTGGTGGGTTTTCAGGTGGTCAGCCGGCGGTCCTTTTCCGCCCTGCCAGAACCTATACTAATTGCGCACGACCCAGGGCTGGTCGGGCCGAAACACTCCAAGTAGTACTTAGTAACGTGCGTAGCCTGAGGAACAAAATGTGCGAGGTGGGTCTGCTCGTAGACAAATCTCGTCCAGATATACTTGCTTTCACCGAAACGTGGCTGTCTGAGGAAATCACAGATGGCGAAGTATATCTGCCTGGCTACGCACTGTTCCGCGCTGATCGCTCCACTGGCCGTCAAGGGGGTGGTGTAGCTCTTTATGTGAGTTATCACATCGACGTATTGAGGACCAGCGTTTTTCAGTCTCTCGACAAATCTGTTGAGGCTCTCGCAGTCTTGATTTGCGCTTCCTCGGTTCAGGTTACGGTTGTGTTAGTGTATAGAAGCCCTATGAGCACCTCCAATGGAATCATTGACTTTATACGCACTCACTCTGCGAACAAGTGTCTGGTGCTGGGAGACTTTAACCTCCCAGATGTTTGTTGGGATGATCTATCTTGCAGTTCGACGCTGGAATCGTTCGGTACAGAACTGCTGGACTTGACGCTGCAGGTACCACTACACCAGTTCGTGGACCTCCCCACTAGGTACATGAGCAATCAGCAGCCGTCCATTTTAGATCTTGTTTTTGCTAAGTCACTTGACTTTGTAAATGACATTAAATATGACTCGCCTCTTGGCGCTAGCGATCACGTTTGCTTGTCTTTCCAGTGTGCTCTTATCAGGTCTTGCCAAGCTACTACCAGTTGGTATCCGAACATTTGGGCCGCGGACTTCCAAGCGATGCGGGATAGAGCTAGGTCATCGCCTTGTGTGATATCTGATACCGACACTGTTCATATAGCCTGGGAAAAGCTTAAGGCTCACCTCGTCGACATTTCTGCACCTCACGTCCCACTGGTAAAAAGAAGGGAATCGAGAGCGCAGCCTCCGTGGATAGATTCCGCGGGGAAGGGCCTGCTAAAGAAGCGGTCTAGATGCTGGCGAGCTTACCGAACAGCTCCGTCAAATGGCACGTTTGACAAATATCGGTTGGTTCGAAATGAGTGCAAGCTACATCTTAGGTTGGCCCGGCTTCAGTATGAAAAGGGCTTAGCTCATACTGCTTCGAAAAATCCCAAGAGATTCTTTGCTTACGTTAAACGACGCTGTGGTGCAAACTCGCCCATTCCACCATTGCTTCGAGGAGATGGGACCCATGCCTATAGCGACTATGACAAGGCATGCGTGCTTGGTAAGCAGTACTCAAGCGTCTTTGTCCGCGAGACAAATACGCCATGCAAAGAGTTAGTTCCAAGAGTCCCTGAGGACTGTTGTCTGGATGAAATTCCTGTAACGGAGTCCCAAGTTCTCCGGTTGCTAACAGAGGTGAACCCAACTAAGGCTTCTGGGCCAGATTCTGTTCATCCAAAATTGTTGCACGAATTGGCAGGGGAACTCAGTGGACCTCTGACTTGTGTGTTTCAGAAGTCACTCAACAGCTGTATCTTGCCTACCGAATGGAAGGAGGCTGTTGTCTGCCCGATTTTCAAGTGCGGTGACAAAGACCTACCTGCTAATTACAGGCCTGTCAGCTTGACTAGCGTGGTCGTTAAGTTACTTGAAAAAATAGTACGAGATACAGTGGAGAACCATTTAAGTAGGTTTAACCTGCTTAGCGTCGAGCAACATGGTTTTCGCAAAGGATTTTCGTGTCAGACGAACTTGCTGGTAGCTCGAGAGTGCTGGGCTGAAGCCGTAGACAGTGGACATGCGGTGGATGTGGTGTTCATTGACTTCGCCAAGGCCTTTGACACTGTCCCCCATTCGCGACTCTCGCTGAAGTTGAGGTCGTATGGAATAGCTGGTCGTGCTCTCCAGTGGGTGTCAGCTTTTCTGGATGGACGGGAACAGTGTATTCGTGTGGGAAGCAGTCTTTCGTTTCGACAGGCTGTGCTTAGCGGCGTTCCGCAAGGCTCTGTCCTAGGTCCGCTGCTGTTCTCAGTCTACGTGAATGACTTGCCGGAGGAGCTTGAGGTACAATCGCTTTTATTTGCTGATGACCTAAAGCTCTGGAATATTGTTGATATCCCTGGAGGTCCTATGGCTCTTCAACGGGCTCTGGATAAACTCTGGGAATGGTCTGTCTTGTGGTTGCTGCCTATAAACCGGGCAAAGTGTTCAGTGCTGCGTATCGGAGCGTCTGATTCCTCCACAAGTTATGTGCTCGATGGGACTGTACTTCCTCACGTGACTCATCAGGTTGATCTAGGTGTCATCCACTGTTCCACATTACACTCTGGAGACAACTGGAAGAAGGCGGCTAGTAAAGGGTTCCGGATGTTGTGGTTTATCCGTCGTTCTTTTGGGACCCTAACCGCTGATGTATTTGTGAAGCTCTTCTCAGCGTTTGTGCGACCCCACCTAGAATATTGCGTCCAGGCCTGTCCACCATGCCTTGTCCGGGACAAAATGGCACTAGAAAGGGTGTTGCGTGTCGGTACTAGGTTGGTCAAGGGATTACGAGGGCAAACGTACCCCGAACGCCTACTTAGTTTGGGAATGCAGTCAATGCACTATCGAAGGATTAGAGGGGACCTAATCCTAACCTACCGTATTTTGACTGGGAAGGTTGGCCCTGATTTGTCCATGCTATTTAGTCCTGCTAGATTATCTGGTCTCCGCGGGCATTGTATGAAGCTGGACAAGCCGCGGTCCGATCGAGTTAGAGCGGAGACACGCTTATCGCGTCGAGTCATCGAGCGCTGGAACCTGCTTCCTGAAAATGTTGTCAAGGAAGCTACGGTTAAGGGGTTTGAGCGTCAACTAGATGCTCTTGGGTGGCAACACGAAACCTTTCCGTTTTCCTGACAAATTCCCATCTTCATACTTCGATTCTATTTTCTTTGCTTTTCCTCGTCATTGGTATTATTCTCTTCTTTTAACTGATTTCCCCTACTCCCTTACCTTCGATTCTCCTTCCTCTCTTACTTACTTCACGTAACTGACACAGCTGGGACAGCTAATGTTAGGAACGTGGGCATTAAATTGGTGGACCAGGGTGTTTTTCGGGTGTTTTCCTTTTAGACCCATCAAGAAGTCGGAGCACCCCTATCAACTCCTGGATCGACGACCCGCTCAAGAAGGAACACTTACGGGATTCATCCTATCGTTCCAGTCCCACTTGAACTTGAACTTGAACTCCTCGCCGGGTCGTGATGGGCTGCACTCGCTGTTCTTCAAGACCGTGGCGGACTACATTGCTGCTCCCGTCTGTCGGATATTTCGTCACTTCTGGAAGCTGGACGACTCCCGGTTGCTTGGAAATTTGGGACCGTTAAACCTATGTACAAGGGAGGGGATCGTCAAGATGTTGCAAGCTATGGACCTATCTGCCTAACGTCCGTACTGTACAAGTTAATGGAAAGGATTCTCAAGCGCGCCCTGCAGCTTCACTTCGAGAACTTTAACATCATGTCCTGTGCCCAGCATGGCTTTCGGCGGACACTCTCATGTACCTCGAACCTGTTTGTTGCTAGGGAAAACTGGGCGCGTTCGTTAGACGATGGGAAACGATTAGATGTGGTTTTTGCAGACTTCAGCAAGGCATTTGACAAAGTCACCCATGAAAGGCTCCTTAAACTCTTAGGTACCGGTGTCTCTGGGAATGTTCTTATTTGGATCGCTGATTTTTTGAAGGTGAATGAAGTCTACCACACTCCTGTGCTGATCGCTAACGGTCTTCCGCAAGGGTCAATACTTGGTTCAGAATTGTTCAAGATATTCATCAATAACCTCCCATCGGAGCTTCAGATGGATTGCTTGATTTACGCCGATGACATGAAGCTATGGATGGAGGTATCCTTTCTCGAGGATGCTGACAGATTGCAGGCATTATTGGACATTCTACACGACCGGTCAGTCAATTGGCAATTGCCCACAAATCGTGAAAAATGCCCAGTTTTCCCCATAGGCGCCGCTGAACCGTTCGGGATATACCATGTTGGTGGGGTGTTACTCAGAACCACCATTCTTGTAAAAGATCTCGGTGTGCTTGTCTCGCATGATTTATGACCCGCAGAAGACACACTACGCTGCCAACAGGATATTCCATACCATACGGATAGACTTCTCGCGACTGACTCCGGAAATCTTCAGAACCCTGTTTAATTCTCATGTGCGTCTGATCCTTGAAAAAGGACTACCCGAAATCTGTCCTCTTACCAATTTCGAGTGTAACATGATTGAGAAGGTCCAGCGGCTTACTTCGAAATCCATACTGGAGTTAAGGGATTTGCCTTACCCTCTCCGACTACAGCGGATGCACCTGTTCTCCCTGGATTAACGTCGACGTAGGGGTGATCTAATTTTTACTAGGCGAATTCTGATGGGGAAATGGGGATGAAGCTACAAGCGTTCTTTCAAGCCAACACTAATAGTTCCACTCGGGGCACAACTGGAAACTCTTTAAACCCAGAATACTCAGAGTTCACTCCACTGTCGCTCTATCAACTCGCATCGTAAATGACTGGAACGACTTGCCGAAACATGTGGTCTAGGCGCAGACTGAGGAATGTTTCAAGTGATTTTTGGATTCTCACTTGATAAGTAAGCTGGTGTCTATTCGTTATCGCTGCCTATGCACCGACAAACTGTAGCGATGACTCGGTAAAAGACGACTTCTATCGTCAACTTAACGAGCTCCTTAGCTACAGAAGAAGCTCGGACACTGTAGTGCTGGCCGGGGATCTGAACGCTTAAGTTGGAAAATTATCCACAGATGAGCTGCATCTGGGCGGCCAACATGGTATAGGCTCCCGTAATGATAACGGTGAGCGGTTACTTCATTTGTGTGAGGATGCTCGCTTATTTCTTGCGAGCACTAATTTCCGACACAGCACCCGCCGGAGGTTGACTTGGCGCCCACCAGCCTCGAAACAGCTATGGACGCAAATCGATCACATTGCTATCAGTTAACGCTGGAGAGGCTGCGTCCAGAACTGTCGCTCGATTTGGAGCACAGGTGTGGACACCGACCATGCACTTGTGTGTGCTGACATGCGGATGCGCTTTGGCGGACGCCCACGACGATTTTGTGAGCGCATTGACACCGGCCAACTGGCGAAGCCAGCTGTTCTGAACGCCTATCAAATTACGCTGTCATCCGAGTTGGGTAATCGCTCACTGGATGCAATTGAAGCTCACTGGTCTCATATACACCAGACGTTATTAGCAGCAGGAAAATCCTCATGTGGTAAGTCTAATCGCCAACATGGACATTGGGTCTCTTCACAGTCTCTGGAACTTATAGATGAAATGAAATGAAATGTGTCAGCTTATACGCCGCAACGGCGCTTCGCTGCCGCGCGACCACCACCAGTCGCGCGCAGGCTGAGTATACTGCGAGGACGCCCACCCCTACGCGGATTCGAACCGGTGACCTTATGGTTGGAAAGCAAACGTGCCAACCACTCGGCCACCGGCCGGCCGGAACTTATAGATGCTCGCCGGCATATTCCGGCTGGAAACAAACACAATGAAACTCGCAAAGTGCTCCGGGCAAAACTTCGTGCTAGCCTGAAGAGACCGTGAATCCTGGTGGTCTTAACGTGCATCAGAAATGGAAATGGCC